CGAAGGACTATCCGAAATGCCTTTGATCAGACCATATCGTGCCGATTCGTTATCGATCCACCAAATCAAGCGCCTGTGGTCAAAGGTGGAAGCCAGGGCCCACCTCAAGCATACCACCGCGTACAACTCGATCTGGCAAATGAGCTGAGTCCCGACCTCGGCCTCCCATCGGAGGATGAGCGGTTCTGGGACGAGACCCTCATAAGTCCACGACTTGCCGGAAGCTGTGTCAAAGATGACGGCACCGATTCCGGCTCGGCGCTGCTCCCACGCACCGTCCGTGAAGATGTGTATCGGGGCTCGGCTGTCCCACACACTGAGCACGCGAGGGCTAAGTGCACGGAGGGCTTCAATGCTGTTGACGCAGAAGCTGCGGATCGCCTTCGAAGAGGCGGGGCTCGAAGCCTTTGTCAAGCGAAGGAGCTCCTGGCATGTTAAGCGTAAGGCCCGACCATTCACATAGCCTGCAGAGAAGTTCAAGAGTCCATGGGCGACTTGTGCCTCGTGCACCGTGATGGCACCCCTGTCAAGAAATCCCTGAAACAAGGCCACGAGCTGCTCGATACGTCCGGCTTTGTTCTGAAGGGTCAGGCGTCCACGGTGAACACCATCAAGTTGCATCGACATCCCAAGGACCTCGAAGCTTGCCGCAAACGGAACGCCTTTAGCGTCCTTGCCCACGCGGGCGTGACCCCAGCCCAGAAGATCAAGCAGTGCGGTTGTGGCCCACGTTGCGCTGTCACTTGTGTTGTTCGGTGACAGAAGAGGAAAGTCGTCGTAGAACACGGAGCTTGGCACAAGCAACATTTGGTTCAACAGGAAGGAGATTGCTTTGGACACCCTGTTGAATGCAAATACTGACGATGTGCATCCGAATAACAGCGAGTGGCTCACGTAGTACCTGGGCTTGCCCTGTCCATCAAGAAAGAAGACCACCGAGACCGGCAGGTCACGCTCCGAGACACACATCTGTTTGTAGGCTTTCGTCAAGTCAAGACACCTGGCTACCCATGGCACCGCACCGGGTTTGGAAGGGTCTGCCAGGATGCGTCGGGCAACCTCGAGAGCCATAGCAGACAGGTAGTCGGCGTCCTCGAGCTCGAGTCGCATCGTTGAGGTGCTGGCGCTGTTCACAAGGGCTTCCTTTGCGTCATCTATGGGCCGAAGTTTCCCTGGCTTCTGCTCCAAGACGAACCGCCGGATGCACGACCAGCGAGTGTGGCCGAACAGCCGGGACACTTGATCCTCCGTGTAGGGTCCCAGCATGAACCCAAGGTCTACCTCTTCCTTGCATGTCTGCTCAAGGTGGGCGAGCTGCCCTGCATCCGGAGCCCTGGCGCCGGGTGTTGTGAGAGCCCGCCGCCTCCATTCGGCGGAGTCAAGGAACTCGTCCCTCGACATGGTGGCAGGAGCAATCTTTTGGGGATAGCAAGAAGGGGTGTCCTGAAACCCAACAAGGTCCACTCCCTGTTCCATGAGCTGGACTACCCCCATGTCCCAGTAAGCATGTTCCTTGAGGAGCGCCTCGAAGAGAGAAAGATTCTTGCTTTCAAGCACCTTCTTCATATGATCCGGTAGGGCATTGTGCCTAGCCTTCTCAGAGCAGCTGAGCTTTTTGACAAGAATTTCAGCCTTAGCAATCGCCAATTTCCTCTTGAGCTCTAAGACCTTAGGGGGTGTCGTCATCACAGCTTCAAGGGCATGCAGAAAGTGTTTAGACAACGGTCTGGCGGCATCGAAGGGGTGAGGGCAGTTTAAGGCCTTATTCAGAAACTCAGGGGGGGAATGCAATATCCCCAGTTTCCACTGCTTCCCCGAGATTTCGGGTCCATCCTCGGTTGATCCCCCCGCGCACTTGGCAGAGAGGATGCGCTCGGAGGGCTGAAGCTTAGAACCCGACGGGACTACCCTAAAGGCGCGGTACTCGGGCACTAAAGGGGCATGGCGCTTTGTTTGGCGGCCCACTGCAGCAGTCGAGGCCTCTTTAGTTCGGGAGAGCGGCCCCGGGGCAGTATTCCGAGCCTTGGCACACTGGAGCAGGCAGCCGGCTAGGCGATGGCAGAGGACCGGCGGGTAGGCTGCAGGCGCAGCCCAAGGTCCGGGGCGCGGACCATGCCAATGCTTGCCGTCGCAAGCAACAGCCAGAGTGTCAAAAACCCGAGCCGTACAAAGGAGACGAGACAGGGCCCGGCTCGACCCCCCGTGCATACAGAGGGGGTACACGATCTTCTGGAGGCCAGCCCATTTGGACAGGCTCGCGGCTGGGAGACGCGATCGAGCCATCGACGTGAGCAGGGCCCAGCTTTCACTTCGGTCAGGCTGTTCAAGGGACACGACGACATCATGTTGGGTGCACCAGCCGACGATGTCACAACAGAACTCCAAAAGGGCCTCATGGCCAGCAAGAATCGGAGGCGCGAGATGTACGGCAAAGGGCACTCGGGCTTGAAGAAGATCCCAGACAACCGATTGACCAGAGGCAGTTGCCAAATCCAGCTTACAGACCGGGGCCTTAGGGTGGTTGACGTAATGATCGAAAGTAACGACTTCGAACCCAAAGTCGAGCATGGCCCGAGACAGGCCTGCGGATCCAGCGAAGAGCTCGATGAACAAGGGTCGCTGGGCAGGCGGATCCAGCTTTGCTGGGCTCGTAGAAGTTGGCTCGCCAACACCCAAAGGGAGACTGCAAGCAGGGCCTAAACCACTAGGGGAAGCCTGGGTATTGGGCTGCAAGTCCACAGTCGAAGGCACTTCAACTTTGCCCGGGCCCCGAACGAATCCAAGCTTGAGCAGCAAGTCAGCATCGGCCTGTGGGAGTTTACAAGCATCTCGAACTGAGTAGGCTGCAAGGACAATTCGAGGACCCTCGGACCATGGTAAGGTGCAATGCAGGTGACGCGGATCAAAGTACAGGCAGCGGTCAAGCTCCCGAGTGGAGCCCTGATGCACCTTGCCTTCGAAATGCATGGGCGAGGAGCCCTTGGGGTCGGCAACCCATAGACCTCCACCCTCAAAATCTGAGCATCGGATCAACGCGCTAAGGCCGGTATTATTACGATCACGATGCATGCGAGTGAGGTTGTCCCGGAGGAGCACAAGGGATGTAAATGGAAAAGAGTCCCCGACGAACTGCTTTGCAAAACGCGCAAGGAGCTGGGTGCATGCAGGCAGGGTTCGAGTATTAGCAAAAGTACCCGTGACACCCCCGTGGACATAAGCACCACAGCTGAAAAGGAAGGCATTGGGGCCGCTTGACGGCCGAACACTGGAATCGCATGGCAAAAGGAATGACAATTGAGCCACAGAAGATGCAGGGATCTCGGCCTTCGCCAGGAGGTTCAGCGCGAAGCTCTCGGCATCCTGTGTTTCGGGGCCACTGAGGCCCTCAGCCAAAATTGGATTGGGAGACGCGGCCCCCTCGGGCATGGTCTCATGCTCAGGACCCGCGGGGGCCCCCGCCATTCAGGCGGGATCGGTGTGAGTGCACTCGATGAATGGCACTGGCCTGCCACACCCTCGGTAATAGCACCCGTGGTAGCCCCGAGGGCATCGGCCCTTCTTTGGATTCTTGAACTTGCATCGGCCCTGATTCCACAGGAAACACCAGGGTTTGCCGTCCTCGCTCTTGGGAACACATCCATCGGGCAATGTGTACTTAGGCGCCTTCCCATCATCCTGGTTTTGATCAGCGGTCTTACCCTTGCCTTTCCCCTTCGGAGTCTTATGCGGGAGCTTAGGATCGGGATGAGGTCGCTTTGTCGGGTGAGGCATCGGAGGAGGCTTCACAAGCGGCAGCAAGTGCACAAGCACGTCAGTGCTCTTGCTTAAGCTTTCGATCTCCAGATCTAGGGGTCGAGCAGCGCCAGCCGACGCCTGGATCTGCCCCATAAGGTTGTGCGACAACAGCTGAAACAGCTCCCGGTCTGCAGCCATAACCTGAGAGAGCGAGACTGAGTGATACCCCGCAGGAGGCTCCCGCTGCATCCTCGAGAACAGGCTTTGAACCCAGGTTTCTAGCACGGTGTAAGAGGCCAGCTGCGCAAGCTCCATTGCAAGAGACCTCCGAGTCCAAGCTTGCCTCAACTGCATGTCAGTGCTGATGGAGCACCTCAGCTCCACTTGCTTGGCGGCAAGCTTCAGCTCATTTCCCTGTACCTGCAAGGTCGGATCCCTCTTGTTGGAATCCATCTCCTGTGCTCGGCTGATGCACGCGTCTGGCTTGACGTAGCTGAGCACACCCGAATCAAGCTGGTCAACGTAGTTATCCACTAAGCGGTTTGCTGGCAGAGTGTCCGGGGTCAAGATAAGTCCAGGCAGCTTTCGACGCAGGGCTTTGAGCCTTTCAGCCCGCTCTATCATTGGCAGCTTGCGAGTGGGAGCCTCGCCTGGCGCCTGATTTACCCGGTCACGCATCTCGGCAATCGACATTGACTGCGCTTCGAAGAGCAAGCGGCGCAACACTGACATTTGGTGCTCACTCGGTAGCGGATCTGCAAGGTGCTGCGCCCACCGGGAGACGGCCTCATCGCTAGCTGCACCCGGGGTCGAGGAGACCGCAAAGGCAAGAGCCCCAAAGGTCGTGTACCCGGCTCGGGCCAGCGCGTCCCTCAGCTCATTTGACAAGCCAACCTTCGCGAGCCGCTCGAGGAAGTAAGCAGAAGAGTCGAGACCTGAAGCCATGATCAGCGCTGGATGCTAATGATGTAAGCAGCAATGTGTTAAGAGTGTCAGCCTGCATCCTATCCCAGCATCAAGTGTGACATGGACCCATGCATGACCGTCGCTAACTCTCCAGCTTGACTCGCGATTCCTGAGCCTACGGGCAACAAGCGGCAAGTGACATGCCAACGCTCGCTGTCCCGGCTCCAAAGGTAGCGCATCGTTTGGGTCGTCCCCCTCAGGAAGACTACGCCCATGCACTTACAAGAGAGTCAAAGAGAGCATGACAGACACGACACAGGCAATTCTTTTCACAGTTCCGCCGCAACGGGTTTATAGATCTAGTCACCTACCAGGCCCAGGGCTCTCGAGCACTGATGGCATGCAGTAGGGAACTCAGCAGCAACGCCGGCTTCGGACAGTGGCGTGTAGTTCGAACTTACAGGCCGATGGCACCAAAGCATGCCGGAGTCCTTAACAACATGCGATATGCCCGAGAACCTGTGCACCACGATGTCCTGAAGGAACTGATCCGGGAACGCCCCCCGAACCAAGTCTGCGGCCTGCCGCCCGCCGTGACCTTCTGGGATCCCCGCGTCGGAATCGTCGGAGGAGGCACTATCCTCCCCGGCTGGGGCGTGCTGCCCCAAGTTGGACGCCTGCGAGCTCCCTACCATGATGGCCTCGGCGAGGTGCTCCACCCGGCGGGCCGGTGGCAAATCTGGATTGAACGATCCCTCCTCAATCGTCTTGAACATCGCTAGGACCTTAGCGTAAAGTTTGGAGTAAGCCTCCCTGCTGTATACGAGCATCGACCTGGTGCCCGGGGCCGAATGGTGGCCCAGGTGCAGCCTTTCGGGCTCACTGAAGTCGATTCGAACTGAGCGGCTCGCCCACGTCAATAAGGTGGTCTTAAGACTATGGGTCCCAACTTTGCTGTTCGGCAGATTAACGGCCTCAAGAAAATCTCTAAGGTATGATGATGCCTCTCCGGAACCCATGCGGGCCGTGCTCCACTGCCCCAGCCTCAAGGAGAACGAAGGGAGACAGAAGTCGCCTCCCCACTGAAGGCCCTCGTTCCTGCGGGCGGTGAGCCACCGGTCACCCCAGTCATAACCCGAGACACCAGTGGAGATTGCGACGTACGGCAAGAGCCTCCTTTGCGCCTCAGCCGTTTGGGTGGTCTTGCTCTTCAGGCCATTTGCAAGCAACAGGGTGGTCTCAGAACCTTCGGAGACATCCACGGACTGCAACCCCTGGATATCCCTCCACCTGCCGGCAGAGTGGACAGCAAAGAGTATCTGGCCCAGCACACAGGCGTCGGTATCATTCAGGTCGTTAACAAGTAGGGCCTCAAGTGCCGCAACCTGTTCCACAGTGAGTGGGGGCCTCTGAGACAGCGGAGCCTTGGTGAGGGCCATGTCACGAGCTACGCCCCGAACCCTCGCAGATACTGCCACATCAGTTGAAAAGAAGATCAATCCAACGGAGTACTCCAAGAAAGTCAGCGACTGCAAAAACTTGTTTCCCGAAGTAGCCCCCCGGTTGGAGGACCGCATTTCACACAAGTACGCATATAGCTGCTCCTCATCAACTCGAAGCGGTTCTGCCGCCTGGCAAGCACACCACGCGCTGAACCGTGTAAGCGCACAAGCATGCCCATTGAGCGTGGATGATGCCTTGGCACGGAAAGCATCTGCAAAGGACTGAGCTACCACAGCCTCTTGCACCAGACCTCCCAGCTTATCAATCAAGGACTTACCCAGCTCACTGGCCAGAGGGTCACTAGTAATCAATACCTTGAGCTTGGCTAAGGCAAGATTGCGAATATCTTCGTCTGAAGCCTCCGGCCGGAAGCGGTGAAGACGGTTCGCAAGTGACGCTGCTACGATCTGGGGCTTAGGGGCAGGAACCTTAGGCACGGCAGGCTTAAGGACGTCGGCACTACCTACCCCAGGCATTAGATCCAAATTGATCCGGCGCTGCAAGGTGTCATGCCAAGATGGGCCCCCGAAGATTGCGGCAAACGGTTGTGTCTCCCACGGGAGGAGTGGGGCTTCCAAGCGGAGCCTCTTATGGATATGCCCCACGGCACTCTGCTGCAACTGGTCCTCGGCGATGCTGTCCAGGGCCGGGACTGCCAGAGTTTGCTCTGGCTCCAAGCTCGGTGGTGACTGCTCACTAGGCGCACACTCTGCAGCGGCTGCCCCGAACGACCCCGCAATCAAGTACCACTCCCTCTCCGATTCAGAAATTTCAGCAGCACAAGAAAGGTCAGGGGCGCTAAGGGATCGGCCGTCCCACACCTCATCATCTTCAAGAAATGACAACAGCTGGTTGTCCGGAATCTCTTGATCTAAGCTTGGTGCAGCAGGAATGTTCTGGTCAGACTCTGGCACGACTGAACCAGCTTCTTGATCCTCAATCCCCCCGGCATCTGTAAGATCAATGGTGCGGAGAAGCTCATCGACCTGGCGAGCGGAGTCACTCATGTCAAGGACGGTTGTAAGCAAGAGCCAGGCGCCGGCGAGCAGACTGCACCTGCTCTCGGATGGCTGCAAAGATAGCAGCAATTGCGCGGCTCACGGGCTGCAAACTGTCAAAACAAGTGACCCCTGCAAGGAGAAGGAACCGAGCCCCGGGAGCCGTGGCCCCAAGCAGGTGCACAAGGTTGATTCGCAAGGGAGGCTCCGGCCGAAGAATCTCAGATTGCCAGCCCCTCACGAGTAAGCACTGGCACAAGTGCAGCAGAAGCAAGCGGCGGCGAGCCGGCGGCGGGCGTCGAAGACGCCGGTCCATGCACGGCCCCCCCTAGGCCGTTCAAAAATTTCATGAATGTTGGGCCCCGACCTTCTGTTGCTTGAGAGGGCGAGCGCGGCCATGCTGATTGAGATCAAATCACAAAGTGAATCTCGCATGCCGAAAATGCCAGGAAAAACATTCATGAAAAATTCACCGTGAAAATCACATGTAAAAATTCTGCTTTGAGTGAAACTACCACATACCGCAAGACTGTACACGATACTGGACCCGCCCCGGCTCGCTCTGCGAGCCTACAGTTCTGTCTACTTAGAAAGCGCTACCGACAAGTCGGAGCGGTTCGTCAACTGTGATGCTGAGCATACACCTTCATCAGATCGTCGAGAGCAGCAAAGGAGAAACATGGGTCCTTGATGAATCGCAAAAGCTCAGGAGGGAATGACACACCTCCCTGGTCAACTGCACTGAAAGATTCGCATAACTTCTTCGATTCGCCCCTGGAGGGCAGATCGGCCGGGTTCGATTTTGATGGCACCCTGTCGTACCAAGCACCGAACGGAAGAACTGCATCCATCGCGTTGATCACTGCCATTATCCTAAACATGGCCTCTGATTGGCTCGATCTCTTGATGAGCGTGGCCAAGGCGGAGTTGTTGTCCACAAAGACGAAGCCCTTTCGAGCGCATAACCGCTTCCCGAAATGCCATCTAGCGCACAAGACAGCGAAGAGCTCTATCTCGCATATGATCTGCTCCCCAACGGTCAGAAGCCAATGACGCCGGATGTCCTCAGGGATGCAGCCAGACATTGCGAACCTCTCCTGCGTATCAAGGTCACATAAGAAGACTCCCCAAAGAGCCTGATCGCCTTCAAGAGAGCCGTCAGTGTACACGATCACAGGCTTACGAGGATCGGTCACTCGCAAAATCCGGGGCTTCATCGCACAGAAGACTGAGCAAAGCATGTCGTTGAGGCGAACGATGGCCTCCGAAGAAAACGTTGCCGGCCTCGCTGACAACTTCGAGTACTCCCTAGCAATAGGCTTCAAAGCGGAGCCCAGGACGAAACCGCTGGCGAAGTTCAAGAGTCCATGAAGCGAAGTAGCAAGCTGCTTGACGTTGGCATCCTGCTTGGTCAGTTGCTGGGCAATCGACTTGATGCGGTCAACCCTGCCTTCTTTGTTTCTAACCTCAAGAGATCCTTGGTGAAGACTGGAGAAGTCGAACTCCGCCCCCAAGGCAACCCACTGGCTCGCAAAATCCACAGCCTTCTTCCCGGTGGTGGCGTGAGTCCACCCCAAAGCGTTGAGCAGCCGGGAGAACGAATCCGAAGCGTTAGCCGCCAATGGAGCAATCTCGAAGGTCGGGTAATCGTCAACATAGACCGAGGTGACAAGTCCCAGCTTCACCACTGCTATGTGCCACAATGCACGGGAAATCTTGTTGAAGGAGAAAACCGAGCCCGACCCACCAAATGGTAGACCTCGGGCAAGGTAGAAGGTCCATTTTGATTCTCGTGATGGCATAGCAATGACAGCGTATTTCAACGAACATGTAGCCACCGGCACCTGCTTGTAGGCTTTAGAGAGGTCAAGACATCTCCCAACCCAATGCGCATCTCTGCTCTTAGGGTGCCACTCGCCTTCGGGGACCTCACCGGATTGAAGGGAAACATGCACCTTCTCCTTGTCGCTCCAAACCCTCGCAACGAAGAGAGCCATGGCGGCGACGAAATCCAGGTCGTGAAGCTGCAGCAGGGATGTGGACCCGAATGATGCATTGACGCCCGAGTCCCTCAAGTTGTCAATGACACGCGGCTTTCTTGCCTCTCCCTGCAAGAGCAGGAATCTTTGACTTGGAGTCCACTGGCTGGTCCCCAACCTCTCAGTCACTTTCTCCTCGCAATCGAACGGCCCCTCAAGAAAACCCAATCGGCATTCTTCGTCTGTCTCATCGTTCAAGATGGTCAGCTCCTCCTGGGACAACTTTTGAGGCGGCTTTGAGAGGAGCTCACGGCGCCTCCAAATTGCCTGCGAGTCAAGTTGCTCAGGAGTGGCCCTCATGGGCTTAGGCCTGGTCGGAAACAGAGGAGAAGGATCCTCGGCCCCCACAAGAGACACTCCCTCTTCCATGAAGCGGCAAACCTCCTTGTCCGGAAACCCAGTTTCTTCGATCAGCTCTCGAAAGAGCTGAAGGCACTTGCCCCCCGTGATGGGGTGGTCTTCGCCAGTCCCAAGCTCGTTCGCCCTCGCCTCAATGCTAGAGAGGGTCTCATGCCTCATCTTCGCAATCTCCTCTGGGCCCTTGGTAGCCAAGTCGAAGATCGCCCTTCTTATGCAATCAGGGACGGTGCTTGCCGACTCCGCGGGATGCTCCAGTTTGGTTGCCAGATCGAAGTGTTCCTGCATCGTGTGATACACTCCCCAAGCCTTGCTGGGATTCGAGGAGAAGACTGGTCCTCCAACCTCGCCTTCCCCCGCCAAATTGGAGGGGCAGTCAGAGAGGCCGGGCCAAGCAAAGTGCATGTCACGAAGCACCGCCAGATCCTGGGGCGGAAGATGGTTCCAGTCACGAACAGTGAAGGCCACCAAGACTGTGCGTCGACCTTTGGCCGGCAAAACCTGATGAGGGAAGCTTGTTTGAAGAAAGCACGGCTCGGCATGAACAGGCAATGTTTGACCCTTCACACGCACGCCACCATTGGAAAAGCGAGAGATCGGAATGATGACGTTGTAGAACTTGTGGTCGTTGTGTGCATCAACGTGTTCAGGGCCATAGAAGTCGTCGAAGACGGCCAATGAAGAGTACACGGCACCTGGAGCAAAGTGCTGAACAATAGCCGCGAGAAGGCGGCACACGTGTGGCATAGATCGGGACACACTGTGAAGGCCCACCTGGGAAGAGAAAACATAGGCACCGCAGGTCCATGCCAATCCGTCAGCAGTGGCCCCACGACGGGAGCGCTGAGATGGCTGCAAAAGATTGACAAGTTGCAAAACATCATCCTGCGCGCAGGTCTTCTGCTGGAGTAACGACCAAGCAAGCTTCTCGACCGCATGGGCATCAAGAGGAGCGGGAGAGTTCACAGGAGCCGGGCCAATACACACAGGCCAAGACGGTGCAGCGGAGCCTCTGGCCGAGGCAGTATCCTTGGGAGGCACCATGTCGGGCAAGGGCTTGGCATCAGGATGTGGCGCCCGGTCGGCCCAAACAATCTCCCGGAACTCAGGGATTAAGGTGGCATGCTTTAGGGTCTGGGCGCCTGCAGCAGCAAGCGTGTCCAATCGAAATTGCCGGGTGGTTTCACGGAACAAAGCCGGGCTGACAGCAGCAGAGGCCGCCTGCACGAGTTTTCGGCAGAAGACACGAGGGTATTGAGCCTCAGAAGAGGTGTCGAAGATCCAAGTGCCCATCCGCATCTTTTGTCCATAAGGAACATGAGAATGCCTCCCGTCGCAAGGGACCGAAAGAACCTCGAAGACCTTGGGCGTGCATCGAAGGCGCGTGTCCTTGCGGCGAGTACCGCCGAACATGCACAGGGAGAGGGACACATCCTGAAGCTCGAAGTACCAATCAGCGAAGGCGGGACAAGAATTGTCACGAGCAAATCGGCAGATCAAGGCAGCGAGAGCTGCCCATGTCCATGCCCTCGCCGGGTTCTCGATGGTGACCAATGCGTTGACTTTCCAAGCAGCGAACAAAGCCCGCACGCAAGTGCCATACACAGCGTTGGCAGCCTCGACACGGAGACGCTCATGGGGCTTAAGATCAGGTAGACCCAAAGGGAACTTGGCCGATCGAAGCGGTCGAGGCTGTGGCACGCCCTGCGCCCGCATCGCGGAGCTGATGGGCAGCTGACGAGCGCGACTTCCAGTGCCACACGGCAGTCCAAAATGGAGCCAAAGGGGCCTGAGCTGATGAATCATATCGTCAATCAAGCGGTGCGAAGAAAGTGCGCCCAAATCGATGGGCAAGCACGACACTTTGGGCTCAAAACGGTTTCCATGATGATCAATAGGAAAAACCTGCCATCCTTGTGAGGCGGCAGCATGCGAAAGAGAGGCCGAGCCACAACACAGCTCGACGAAAATTGCAAAGGGAGCGGCATCTGTAGTCGGCAGGCCTGAGCGGCCTAGTCAAGAGTGACGGCACTCACAGTACGGCACTCCCTTCTTGAGGCAGTCCTTATGCCAGCAATTGTGCAAGCCGCGGTCGCACCGGGCTTTGGACTGATCAGGGCACTTGCCGTGTTGAAACAACACGCATAAGAACTGGCGAGTCTTGGGCATGCGCGAGACACAGTCCTTAGGCATCTCCTTCAGCAGCTGCAGGATCTCGGCACGCTTGGGGTCCACCTGAGCATCATCCCACTTGCGCTTCTGACCGCCTTTGTCGCCACGACCTTTGCCGCGACCACCGCGGCCCTTTCCTTCGCGCTCTCCTTTGCCATCGGCCTTGCCACCGCGATCGCCCTTGTCGCCTTTGCCTCCACCGGTGGCCTGCGGAAGGTTGGCCAAGCAAACATTGACACGAGTATGGGTCTGCAGGCGCTCGATGAAGACATCCAGGGGGGGTTTGACGCCCCCGACGACCTTAATGGAGCCACGACTTTCCTGAGCAAGAATCTGCCACAGCTCGCGGTCAGCGTTCAAAGCCTGGGCAATGCTGGTGAACTTGTGACCCGGTGGCGGGTCGCGAGTCACTGAGTCAAACAGGTAAGTGTGCCACGCCTCCTGGGCAGCAAATGACATGAGGCCAATTTGGTCAAAGGCCAGCGCCCGTCGGGTGAAGGCCTCTCGAAGCCGAAGTTCTCCTCGAACGTCGCATTCCAGGTCGGAGTGCTTCTTCGATATCTTCAAGCCACCTTGAGCATCAAGTGTAACTTGCTGAGAGGGTTTGTCGCTGGAAATTTCCAACGCTCTTGATGGGCACTTATGCGGCGGCAGGTAGGTGAGCGTCCCGGAATCGACCATGGATTGGATCTTGTCGATGAGGCTGTGCGCCGGTTCCACCCGTTCGGTGAACACTATCCCGGTCAGC